AAATATATTGCATTTAAAAGGTCACCATGACGGCCAGATAAAATATTTACAAGGGCCATTTTGGCCCTTGGGCCTAGAGTTTGACACATTTTGGACTTTACTTTTTTTTTTTTTTACATACTGAAATGCCAGAAGCACCTCATCATGAGCGAGCAGATTGAAGTGTTCCCACATGTTACGACTTTTCTTCCTGACTGGCTTCATAATGGTACAATCTCAACAACACAACAGCAAAACGCACCCACTCTCCCAACACACTGCGCTCTTCTTGTAACGATTTTATAGTGGTGAACGCGACCAAATTCAAAACTGTTTCAACCAGTCACCTGTCAGAACCGAGACGAGGCAATCACTGGACCACGAACAAGTAAAGTGATTCATTCCGACAACGAAATAGTTTGTGTTTCGGACGTCACGTGTCACGTGACTTCTTCTGCACCAAATCAGTGTTCTGATATAATTGTACTTAACAGTTCGACACAAGCATTGAAGCTTTTGTTTTATACTGCCATCACTACCCAGGAGTGGTGGACCAACAAAGATCACTCCAAGAACAAGGTGTATAACAGTCAGCAAGGTCACAAAGGACCCCAGGGTAACTTCTAACAACTGAAGGTCTCTCTCATGTTATTGTTAATGTTCATGAGTCCACCATCAGGAGAACACTGAACAACAATGGTTCATGGCAGGCTTGAAGGAGAAACTCTGCTCTCCAAGAAGAACATTGCTGCTCGTCTGCAGTTTGTTAAAGATCATGTGGACAAACCAGAAGACTGTTGGAAGAATGTTTTGTGGACAGATGAGACCAAAACAGAACTTTTTGTTTTAAATGAAAAGTGTTCTGTTTGGAGAAAGATTGCATTCCTGCATACGAGCCTTATCCCACCTGTGAAACATGGTGGTGGTAGTATCATGGTTTGACCGGTTTTGCTGCATCTGGGCCAAAACAACTCCCCATCATTGATGGAACAATGAATTCTGAATTATATCAGAGAATTATAGAGGAAAATGTCAGAACATCTGTCCATGAACTGAATCTCAAGAGAAGGTGGGTCATGCAGCAACATAATGACCTCAGCACACAAGTCATTCTACCAAAGAATGGTTCAAGAAGAATAAAGCTCATGTTCTGGAATGGCCAAGTCAAAGTCCTGACCTTAATCCAGTCCAGATGTTGTGGAAGAACCTGAAGCAGCAGTTAATGTGAGGAAACCACCAACATCCAGAGTTGAAGCTGCTATGTACAGAGGAATGGGCTGAAACTCCTCCAAGCTGCTGTGCAGGACTGATCAACAGTTACTGAAGCGTTTAGTTAGTTATTGCTGTACGGGATGGTGTCAGTCACACCAGAAACTGAAAGAAAGGGTCACATATCCAACAAAGTTAAGTCAGGTCCTGTGGACGTTTTTTTTTTTTTTTTGTGTGTGTTTGTTGAAAAGTTTCATCTTTCATCCAAAAGACTTCATCAGTCCGAGGAGCCACAACAAACTCAGTCCCACACTCACATAGTGTGTCAACCAGTTTGATGGTAATAAGATGTTTTCTGGAGTCACCCCTCTCCCCCGTCGACTCCTCTGAGGCAGCCGTGGCCAAAGTGGTTCAAAACATAAAAGTTCATGCTCAATATTATTAATTACTATTGAGCATGAACTTTGTTGTTTTGGAAAGTTCACATACTTTTACCATCACAAAAATGTAATATTGGATCATTTTCCTCAATAAATAAATAACCAAGTGTAATATTTTCTTTTAGGACTTGTGTGAAAATTTGATGATGTTTTGAGTCATATTAATGCAGAAATATAGAAAGTTATTAAGTGTTCATAAACATTCAATCACTACTACTTATATATTTTGCTAACAGATGGACAGAAGTGACATCAATAAAGTTATTGGCAGCACTGAAAATAAAAACCCAGTGCAATCTATTAACCCTCAGAATATGTGTTGTGGATCATCTTCAGCTACTACCAAACCAAACATCAGGTTAATCTGTGTTTGACCAAGTCACGGAAATTATTTCAGTCTCGAGTTAATCAGCTGAAGAGGTACAGCTAAGATTACATTCAGCTAGTTTTAATAACATGTATCCTGTGGTTCCTGGGACAATGTGCACGAACACATGCACATACACAGGCAAAAGCATGATCATCCATCAGCTTCATGAACATTGAAACATAAGAGTTGTACACAGGAACTCAATGAGACGACTAAAAACGAGATCCACTCAAAAGTGAAAGCAACCCACGTGTCAGATGTGCAAACGATGTTTTACATCATTGGACCCATTTTCCGTGCATGGCTGATGATCCAGGAGAGTGGAGATATTTAGAGGAAACACTTGCAGCTGGTTTATACTAAACATGGAAGCTGCTGGTGGTTCCACTTAACCCTAACGTTTCTGCAGGACAGGAGGAGGAAAAGAACAACCGTTGATTTTTCTGCATGATTTTTTTAATTAAACCTTAAATCAATACGAGCTTCAGAGTCAGGGGAATAACTAGTCTTTGTAAATTGTTGTTTTCACACCCAGCTGTAGTTGTGTGTCAGTTCACAAATTAAAAGCTTAAACTATTATTGTTTTTCTGCCTCTGAGCTGTTTGCAGTCCTTTTTTTAGAAGATTTTTCGACTGTTTTTGTCATTTCCTGCTTTGTGTGTTTATTTTGTCCTTCCTTCCTATGCTTGCATCTCTCATGAGGAGTTTTATGTTTCTGCCAGGCTGGTAACGTACTGAAACAGAGCAGACAATTACGGATATGAAGCAAAGGTCCACCCAAAACACACAGAGGATAAAAAAATAAACATTGTGTCGTGTAGAAGTTTCTGTTTTTATTTATTTGTTTGTTTAACGCTTGAAACTTTCTATTAACATACAAAATTGTAGCTCAAATTGTGAAATCAACTGGCTGTGGCAGCCATCTTGATTTGGATTGGCTCTAAAAGTGAACTAGTTGTAGAAATACATCATATGAGTGTTTTTTGCAAGTTTCATTAAAATCTGTGATCTGGTTTAGGGGATATTTTGCTAACAGACAGAACTGACTCCAAAAAGTTAATGACAAAACTCAAAACAAAGATCTTCTTCAATACATTTACGCACAGAATTGTGTTCAGGATCAGCCTTGGCTAGTGCCACACCAAATTTCAGCTTTTTATCCCTAAAAGTGACTGAGTTATAACCATTGTTTGTTCAGCACTGGCAGTGCTTCAATGGGGGGTACCGCAGGGGTTCATCCTCGGTCCCCTTCTCTTTTCTTTATACCTGCTGCCACTAGATGCTATTTTCCGCAAGTACAACATACCCTTTCACTTCTACGCCGATGACTGTCAAATTTACTTCCCCCTGAAGCACAGAGATACACACTCTATTCAACCTCTGCTTGACTGCCTGGCTGGCATCAGGGACTGGATGGCTTTAAATTTCTTAACTTTCAATAAGAAGTCTGAAGTCATGTTGCTCCCTCCCAATGGCACGTTCATGAACCACTGCATCGACCTTTCCTCTCTAGCCCTGTTAGAGAAACAAAGAGTCACTAATCTGGGAGTGAACCCTTCCTTGAAACTTAACAGTCATGTGAACGTGATTGTTAAATCCTGTTTTTTTCAGCTGAGGCGACTGTCTAAGCTGAAGCCCATATTGTCCAAAAATAACCCGGAGACAGTGATCCATGCGTTCATAACATGCTCGATTACTGAAATGCACTTCTGTTTGGAATCAGTCAGTCCTCCATTGCACGACTACTGGTCCAAAATGCTGCAGCTCAATTTTTCACTGGTACAGGTCATAGAGAGCACATTACACCAGTTTTAACCTCCCTGCACTGGCTACCCATTCACCTTTGGATCCAGTTCAAAATACTCATGTATGTAAATCACTGAACAGTTCTGCCCCATCATATCTCACTGATCTTCTGCAGTCATATGCCCTACCACGCTCTCTGAGGTCAGCAGACCAGATGCTTCTTTCAGTTCCAGTAACATGTCGTAAGCTCAGAGGTGACTGGGCTTTCTCTGTTGCAGGTCCAAGACTGTGGAATGACTTACCACTGCGTGTCAGGCAAACTCCCACTCTCACTGTTTTTAAGTCTCGCTTAAAAACTCACTTTTATTCACTTGCCTTTGATACGGTGTGATTTGTTTTGATCCTGTCTGTAGTCTACAGTGTTGGCCACTTACTTATTACCTGTTGCTATTTGTATATATGTTTTTTATTTTACTTTATTTTATGTTTTCCTGTCCACTGCTTGTTTGTTTCTATTGTACAGCCCTTTGGTTGGCCTTGTTGCTGTTTTAAATGTTCTATAAATAAATGGTCTGGTATGGTATGGTATGGCATTGTTTGTTCTTAAAGGCCAGTTAGCTGTGTTGGCCATCTTGAAGTGTGTTGACTCCAACATGTAATCAGTTGTAGATGTGCATACAGCGATTAATTTCTGAAAGTTTCACAAAAATTTCTGTAATGGTTTACAAGATATTTTGCTAACAGACAGACAAAAACACGTGACAAAAACACTATCACCTGATTTTTATTTCCTGACAACAAAATGCAACGAGTAACATCTTCCAAAACAACTTTAAGACAAACTAAATAAACAATTGGACCAAAAGTTTTATTTTTAACCACAAAAAGAATGTTGTTTTTGACGTCACCAATATGTTAGATCACTTCAAACTGCATCTAAAGACACATTAGCTGCTTTAAATTTACTTTTATGTAAAATCCATTGTGCAAGCACGTCAATCAAATATTAAATTTTTAATAGATGAATGAAAAATATGAGTTTTTTGTTTTTTCATTTCTGAAAATACAGCATTTAGAAAATGAAGACGATTGTGAAGAAGACAGATTTCAGGCGAGACAATAAAAAACTAAAAGCTCATGTTTCATCCCAGACATGATTTATTTTTAAGGTGCTGTGAACACAGTGGTGCAGTGAGAGAGGTGGACGGATGGCTGGACAAAAGGAGGGAGGGGGTATAAAAGGACGGCACCGAGCAGGGGGGTGAGTCGAGCCAAAAATATTCTGGGACAACCACAAGATACTTTTTCAAGCTCTGCAGGTAGGCGACACCTTTCTGACTCCTCATCGGGATGTTTGACAGAATTTGTGACAGTAGGTCAGAATAGCAAATATTTAAAGTGATGGTTAAAAAACAAGAAAAAAGTTCACTTTTGCAACTTTTACCATGAATTAAAAAAAAAAAATCAAGATTTTAATTTGATTTGAGCTGATTGCACCTTTTAAAGTCCATATGAAATGTTAGTGCAGACGGTTTCATGCGAACATTTAATGCAACTGGCCTTGAGAATGACAAAGTTAGAGAAATATTTGTGTTGACGTGCTAGTTGCAGCCGTTAAGCAGCTTTACGAGAACAAAAGCTCCTTTCATGCTTCTGATCGGGGGATAAATTATACAGAGCAAAGTTGAGGTGACATTACAGGCTCACTGAGAGCAAACAAGGTCACGTTTCGGATTGGTAATGAGATGCCCTTGAACGAACTGGCTCTTGGCCAGGAGCCTTGAAATCAAACAGGACAAACGCACCGCCACACAGTGAGATAACACTCTCACACGCCTCATCACAAGACCAGGTCCTGTTTGTTTCCCCTTTAAAATGAGTTTCTATCATCATATAAATTTATCATTTTTCTTCTGTTCCCTCAGATCATGGCGGACTACGATATGATCCTGAAGCACTGGGGTCCAGTGGAGGCAGATTACTCCACCTATGGAAACCTGGTTCTGACCCGGTCAGTGGGTCCATGTTCTTGTGGATTCACACAAAAATGAACTCTAGCTCAATGGATGGATGGTCTGAATGTATTTTAGGTGGTTTTACTTTTGCACTTCATTATGTTCAGTGAACTCCATGACATCATCGTGACCTCTGATACGGTGAACGAAACAGCACAGAAATTTGGCCAAGTTCACAGATTTTCCTCTTAAGTCTGCATAAATGGAGCCTGGTGGGTTTGGTAAAGGCAGAGATAATGAGAACACTGAGCAGGTATATTTGTTGAAGCAGTTCCTTGGTGTTTAATCTGTGAGTTTTTGTCTAAATTTTAAAATCCTGCTGTTTCAAAGTCTTCTCACCACTGCCAGGAGGGCAGCTGCGGCTGAGTGGTTAGAGCAGTCGTCCTCCAATGGGAAAGTTGGGGTTTGATTCCACCAACAGTCATATGTTAGTGTCCCTGGGCAAGACACTGAATCCCTCATTGCCTCTGATGAGTGTCCCATCAGTGTATGAATGTGATAAAGCACTGATTAGTCCTTGTAGAGATCTAGTAGAGTGCTGCATGAATGGGTAAATGAGGCACAGATGGTGCTTTGAGTACCTTGATTAGATAGAAAGGTGTTATATAAGTACAGTCCATTTACCATTTACAGTTGCACCATCCACCCCACCTCCTTTGCAACGCTCCAACAGCCACAAAAGCCAGAAAAGTACATCTCAGTTCCGACTCTCTTGGAATGTCACAATAATCTCACGTTTCCGTCCTTCCCCAGCCTATTTACCGAGCACCCAGAAACTCAGAAGCTCTTCCCCAAGTTCGTCAGCATTCCCCACGGTGACCTGGCCGGAAACGCAGCCGTTTCTGCCCACGGAGCCACTGTGCTGAAGAAGCTCGGCGAGCTGCTGAAGGCTAAAGGCAACCACGCTGCCATCCTCAAACCTCTGGCCAACAGCCATGCGACCAAGCACAAGATTCCCATCAATAACTTCAGGGTGAGGGATGCGTCTTCACAAATATTCTCCTTCTTCTCCAGATTATCTCAGTGACCTCTGAGGATTTCATGTTTTCTTCCCTTTCAGCTGATTACTGAGGTGATTGTTAAAGTACTGGCAGAGAAGGCAGGACTGGACGGTGCCGGACAGCAGGCCCTGAGGAACGTCATGGCCGCCGTCATCGCGGACATGGACGCCGGTTACAAAGAGTTGGGCTTTGCTGGATAAACAACGAGACCAAGCGTCATGCTTAGATCTTTCCAGAACCAGATAATCTTCTACTTGCAAGAGCTTTTTTTTTTCCAAAGACACCGCTCTTTATAATCAAACTGCTGATGATAGTTCTCTGACTCATTTACTTACGAAAAAGTCATATTAAGTTCAACAATCGTGTTTTATTAGTAGAATTAAAGCGCTAATCTGTATTAAATCAAACAAGTCTTCGAGATTTCTGCAGATATTACCTGAATTCTTGGGAAAAGTGTTTATAATCACTTTAATTCATTGTCTGATTTTACTAATAAAACTGTTGCTCTTTGCTTTTGGCCTCTTTTGTTTGTCAACAATTACAAAACTCAAACTCAACAGTTGTTTACTTTTACAACAGGACTTTGTAGTTTTTTTTAGATGTAGATGACAAAATGCCATGTTGATAAATAAAGTTTGAGGGGGAAAAAGATCAAAGAATTTGTCAAAGTTGGTGCCAGTGTTTTATTAGGTCACCATGGTAACCACACACCTGTGTCTCTCACTTCCTGACAGCAGCCTTATAAGACAGGCAGACAAAAACAGTAAAAAGTAAGCCTCAAACAGTCTTTGTACAAAAACTATGAGTCATACTGAATAAATATTTGAATCGTAAGTGACAGAAGGTTCTGGTCACCCCACAGGTCAGATTTCGAGCATCTACAGTGTTTTGTTTAGAAGATATGACAAGTTAAAATCAGATAAAATGGTAGTCAATGAGAGTTTGGGGAGGCACGCTGAATTCTGGGAAGATTTCAGAGAAACTTTAAACTGTTAAAACACCAGTTTAGTCAAGGAAAATCCAACTTTCTGCATTAAACTTTAAATAACTTGACCATTAAGTGAAACTTTTTGTTCTCTCTATTCAAATGTCATTTACAACACACAATGTACTGCCACTCAAAGTCTTGGTTGTCATGCCATTTCTTATCAAATGACACATTTTATGTATTTTTCCTCATTTTATTTAGGATTCTGCAAAAACCATTAAAGACTTTCTTTTTATTCAGATAATTAAAAAATTGTGACAAAAAACAAAAAGCAGTGGCCACTTTGTAATTAGACTACCATTTAATCTAGTCAATGGATATAGTTATTAATTTTACATAATTAAAGGTCATCTTTGATTCTGGTCAGAGAGTTGATCCATCACAGCTGTCCACAGTGGCCCAGATAGATTAAGTGTGTGAAAGTGTCCATTAGCATGTCCACAGTTGTCACTTGAACAAAGTGACAACTGTATCCCAAACACACAGCTCTTTCAGACTCTCCAGTCACACAATCCATCGGACGTGACTTCAGTCACCCACACAAGGGATTATCAAGGGATTTTTTTGCACTTTGTTTCTTGCAAAATTCCTGCTTTACTTATAAAAACAAAAAAACAATCATTTTTCTTTCACGGCCAATCTCTGTAGTAAATCTCAGCCAGATTTGTTTTGTGTCTAGAGTTCAACGTGAGTTAACTCAGGGTGTTTTTTTTTTATATAAATCCTTATTATAGGTCACGCAAGCTTCTTAACTGAGAGCGGGTCGTGTTTCCTTTTGTTAGTCCGGCTCATTTTCTTCCACAGGAGAAGTGAACGAGGAGAAAGGGTTCTTTGTCGCAGAACCTGGAGGAAATCTCAGAGGGCAGTGTCTATGAAGCACTTCTTTGAGGTAGAAATGAGACCAAACGGTGTGGGAAAGTAGGAAAAGTCTGTTTTGCAGCAAAATAATTAAGAGATAAGTGGAGATATACTGTACCGTATTTTTCAGATTATAAGACGCATTTAAAATCTTTTAATTTTCTTAAAAATCGACAGTGAGCCTTATAATCAGGTGCACCTCATGTATTAATTCTGGTTGTACTTACTGACCTTGAACTGATTTTATACGGTTACTGTGGATGAGTTGAATGAAGTTTGACTTATCTGACTGTTGTGTTTCACTTAATGCACCTTATGTATGAAAACAAACCCGTTCATTGATATTGTGTTTTATAGTCTGAAAAATATGGTAGTTGGTTTTAATGAATTTATTATAAAGAAATGTCATTTAAAAAACACCGAGGCACTGAGACAGATCACAATCTGAAGGATATGAAAAACATCAGAAACACGTTCATACATTTTTGTTTAAAGCCCCCCCCCCCCCCCCCCTTAAATCATCAGGGCTGGAGCTGGAGGGTGGTTTGACCCAGCAACAGGATGTGATCAAACACACCAACGCATCACCAAATCCTGTTTCCCCATCACATTAAAGAGATAATTTGATGTATTTAAGTGAAGCTCTGTAGAGGGGTCATGAACAGTTAATATCTTACCTGTTGCAGGCATCTCTTTGAACGACCTCAGTTTGGAGAAACCGAGTCATGTCTGACAAGCTGACCGCTCGTATTAGGAGGGCAAAGGCCAAATAAAAATTTTAAAAATGACACAGAAGTTCTTGCTGTTTCAGAGACCTTTACCCCACTGTCCGTTTCACAGTCCGTGGTAAATTATTGAAAAAACTTTGGTTAACTTCACGAGCAGAGAACAGGAACAACTGCTGCAGTGTCATCATCTGCCAGAATAACTGCAAATTAATGACAATGACAAGGTTTAAATATTAATGGTCAGTGAGAATATGAATAAGATATTAGAAATTGGACGTACTGAAAAACTAGTATCGTCTTTTCTGAAATGGAGTGTTTCTTTTTAAACACCATTATTTAAACCAGGACATTCAACTAAATTTCTCATGGGGCCACAGTTACTGAAAGCCAAGAGCTCAGAGACCTGACGTCCAGCAGTTATGTTTGTTTTACAGTTTAAAATCTAGTTTTATTTAAAATGAACCCGTTGGTGGGCCAAACCAAGCTCACCTGTGGGCCTGATTTGGCCCTGGGCCACCAGTCGAATAGCCCTAATTTAAACGTTTACACTGTCATCTGTTTTGCATTACACAGTTATTTCATCAGAAATATTCTTATCCCGATTCCAAAAAGTTAGGACGTTATGTAAAATGTAAATAAAATAAAACGAAATGACAACAGAATGATTTGCAAATCTCATTGGAACACAGAAAACATTATATATATATATATATATATATATATATATATATATATATATATTTTTTTTTTTTTTTTTTTTTTTTAAAGTACAACTTTTAGATAAACTTGAGTTAATTTCGAATTTTAAGGCAGTAACGTCTCCCAAAATGTTGAGATAAGAGCACATCTCCTCTGAGAAGCATGTCCTGAACCTAAGGAGACCAGTTTGTAGAGTTTTTGGAGGGAAACGTTCCGTTCTAGTCTCATGTCGGACTCTGGATGTTTGGCACTGCTGGGTCTTCGTTGCAGATTTTTTTTCAAATTTATTTTATTTCAAGACACACCAAATATAGTCAGTTGCTTAGAGATCTTCAGGCAGGTCTGTTCAGCATCCAGACTCATCTGCTGGATGGGTGCACATTGTTCAAAAACCTTTACACCCTTTTCTGCATTAAGGGTGCCTTTATAGATGTGTAAACTGCCCATTACGGAGGCACTAATGTACCCCCATACCATCAGCGAGGCAAGCTTATGAACAGCATACTGATGTGAGGCTGGAAGGTACTTCTCTTTGGTTCAGAAAACATAGCATCCATTAGAATTTCAATTTTTAAATGACTTTTAGTCCATAGAAGACAGTGGCATTTCTGTTTACATATGTCATTTATATTTTTGCATGATAGAGCTTTAACCAGCATTTGTTGATGCCATGGTGAACTGTGTTCACAGACAATGATTTATGAAAGATTTCCTGAGCCCGTGCAGTGATGTCCATAATGCCCTTTTTGCCCCACTCCCCTCAGACAGGAGGTTGTGGAGCATTAAGTGTAGAACCACTAGACTGAGGAACAGCTTCTACCCTGAAGCTGTTAGACTCATGAATCCCTAACCAGAATTATCACTGTAAAGAAAAAAAAATCACTGTAATGCCACTTTCATTGGTGATATATGCTGTTGATTAATCATGCTGCTGATCTCATGCTGCTGATTATTTCATGCTGCTGTGTTCATTCGTAGTCATCTACTCACATAGACTCATGTTCGTGTGCTGTTGTTGGGCATATTGTTTTGCACTATTAGTGTATATCTTAGTTGATATCTTAGCTCCTTATTTACTGTTTCTTTTTACAGTTTATATTTTTGCTATTGTAGGGTGTAACTGGCCGTGTGTACATAATTTCATTCCACCTCATGTACCGCATATGATGCGAATGACAGTAAAACCGACTTGAACTTGAATAGAATCCGACCTGTTTTTAATGCACACCTGAGGATCTGGAGATCGCAGGCCTCAGCTGCAGCAGCTGGTTTTTACTCCATCGCTGTAAGTGGATATGGGTGTTGGAGATCCATTCTCTGAATCACAACCAGAACTTAAACACAAAGGCGCTCGGGGATGTTTTTGTTTTCCTTTGTCTTTAGGATGCACTAAAACTCTTTAATCACATTTCCACACATTGACAAAAGATTTTATCACGCTAAACGACAAACCATCGTCTTTTTTTTTTTTTACTTAAGTGTTTCTGTCTGTTTAAGCATGAACGTAAAGGAGCCAAGAGACTGTAAGATATCAACCTTATCATGGACATTCCTCTGTCCCACTGACTTCCCGTTGTCCTTCCAGGTCCACACTTGATGCCAAAACAGTGTTTAGTTAACCCGCGGGGTGGATAATTGCCATGATGATAACCTTTAAATAGTGTGTGTGTGTGTTGCTGCACGCATGAGGACGTGACACGAGGCACAGTTCCTCTGCAGAGACACACCTCTGTCTCTGCTCCTGAGCAGCTGATGACCGAGTTCAGAACGGTCACTGCTTTTCAACAGGACAATGGAGCAACAGGACACAATGAGCTTTTTAAAGAAGGACAATCAGACAGTTCAGGATCACAAGTGCAGACATTTAGATGTTTTCTGAGCCTTTATGGTTCAATGTTATTGTTTAGGATGATGAAACTTGGCTTTTGTTGGCTTTTCAAACAGCAGGCCAGGAAGTCATAGCTTTGATCGTCTGTAAGAATCACTCTTTTCATCCAAGTGTTTAATTAGCGTATAAAACTAAAACTTGATTGATACATTGCAACCAGTACAAAGACAAGACCTAATGAGAAATGACAGAGTTGTGGCCATTTTGATCAAACCTTGGCAACAACTGCACCAATCAGAGTCAGAGAGATTTATTTGTCATTCACATCTCATGTGGTACATGTGGTACATGTGGTACAAGATTATGTACACAGGATCCCAGTTACATCCAACAATAAAATGTAAAAGAAA